GGAAGAGCGCTGCACCGCGTCACGGCCGACGAAACGACGGCGACGACGACGACGACGACAACGACGACAACGACGACAACGACGACGACGACGACAAGGCGGCCACTGTTGTTGCCTCTACAACCGCAACTATCATCGCACGTGCGGCTTCCAACGATAACGACAACAACAACAACGACGACGACGACGACGACGACCAGCACGGTGACTTCAGTTGTTCCTGCCGACGTGATACGTCACGCGTGACGTTGCACACCCGACAGCGCGCACGTTAGCGCGGCGACGTGTACACGCGCGGTACCCTTCTCCCTCACGCACGTCTCACGCTCACGGCGCGCGTTGAAAGACAAGAGGAACGTCGGCGGCGGAGGAGCAGAGGGGAAGAAGAGAGGGTGGGATCGACGTGGAGGGGGCGACGACGGGAGGTGGGAGGAAATCGGAAAGAGACGCTGAAGGGAAACTAGGGCCGTAGAGGGGTAGAAGGGATTGAGGGGGGTGAGCAAGAAGGAGGAGGAGGCACGGGAGGAACTACGACGAGGACGACAACGGCGACGACGACGACGACGAGGAGGACGGAGGAGCGCCGGCGGTGGAGGGGGTGGACATCCACGCGGGAACACGAGGCAGGCGCACCCGGCCGGCACGCGCGCACACATCCTAAGATGTGATTTCAAAAATGGCGGATTGCCCCTATGCCCGCTGCATACAGGAACGCAGACACATCCGACGGGAGCTGCTGCGATGGACAAAGAATATGGTCTTCGTAGTTGGTGAGTAAAGAATCATGTCGTTCCCCTCGTGACGAGAAGAACTCGCGCTTTCTACGTACTTGCGTAAGCATGTGACAGAGTACATATATATGTATACACATCGCAACGCGTGTCCATGCGTGAGAAAAACGTCCTCACGGGGACACGCGTGCACCAGCATGCGCGGCGACCAACCGCTCGCGCGCGCAAGAGAGGCGTGTCACCAGCTTGTTGCGTGGGTGTACATATGTGTCTCGCGGTAAAAGTGATATATACACACACACACACACACAAATATATATACATATATATATATCAATTGCAGAGTCTGTGGAGATGTGTATACGTACGTTTGCCTACATTCCGCATGGCGAGTTTGTGTGTGTGTGTGTGTGTGTGTCGATATAGTGTAGGTGCGGCTTCTCTATCAGTGTGCGAACGTGAAGAGCGAGCAAGAGAGATCAAGAGAGAAAGAGACGAGACGAGAAAGAGAGAATGGGGAGGAAAAGTGAGAGAGTGAGAGAGAGAGAAAGAGAGAGAAAGAGAAAACACGCTGGTGGTTGAGACCTGTTGCGAACCGAAACGCCGAATCCTGGCTGACTATGTGCCAGGCGTGACTCCTACTCGCGCCTGCACGTTCAACAGGGTGGTACCACGTTGCCGGAAAATCCGATAATATTCTGCGAGTAGTTTCCCGTGCGGTTTCAAGTTTTCGTGCGTGCATTTTAGTCGAGAAACCGTCGTCTATACTCATCGAACGATCTATTTATGAGGGAGAGAATAACGACAACGGTTTCTTACATTTTCGCGGACATTGTATCACAAATGTAATGATCGCATTATGCAATTAAATGACGTGTGGCGCGATTTGAGGGAGAGCAATAATAATTCGAATAATCGCGACAGTACATTATATTTTTTTTTCATATTACATAATATATTGTGTAACAGAGTTTACTCAATGGCTAGTAGTTTTTAATAAACTTTGTGGATGAATTCAAGAAAAAGCTAGTATGCAAATATATAATTACTCCTTTTTCCGAGAATGGTAATCGATACCCGATCTATATCTAAGATTAAAACTCACTCCTTTTAACGACGCTCGATATACCCATCTGATTCATCTCACATCAAGAACGAACTTAGCAACGGAGAAATAAAAATGTGGTAGTGAGAGTCAAAGGTTATATGGTCAAATACCGTTGGTTGAAGTAACGCCTAAGATTCAACCGGAGGGCCAAATCGAAATTCGAAATCGGCCAGAGAGGAGATTGACGCGGCTGGGGGTTATTGCTGAGAAAAGAATTAGGCGTCGCGAGGGCGCAATTTCCTGCATAGATGAAGAGGGTGGCGAAATCAGGCTCGGGCTCCACGACCCTTCCGCGTCGACGGCGCTAACCCCTCTCGGTTCGGCGTCGCCGAAGGGGTAACGGGCGGACTGGCATCGTCAGACGCGCAGAAAATACTGCACAAGCTGCGTGCCTTGACCACAGACAACCCCGAGGAGCGATCCCGGCCGCCGCCCGAAACCTTCTTTTCTTCTTCTTACGGCCTTCCGTCCTCGTTTCCCTCCCCTATCCACCCTCCGACGTCGTCGTCATCGTCGTCGTCGCCGCCGCCGCCGCGTTCCTCCCCACCAGCCCTCTCCGACTTCCCCTTCCTCGCCTTTCGGTTAGTTCGTCAAGGGGCGAGCTCCGGTACTCGCGGAAGGCACGTTTCCGCACGCGTCGGCGTTGCGTGCACTCGCCGTTACGCTTCTTTCTCCACTTTTGTGACCTCTCCCGTCTCGCGCCCTCGATCGTTCACCCCCCCCCTTCCCTTCCCTCTTCCTTACCCCACTGTCTTCCCTTCCCCGAGTTGCCATCGTCCCCGCCGCTACCTCTCGCTCGCTCGTCGCTCCTCATTTCGGAACGCAGCTGCCGCTGGTGGTCGAGAAATTTTCGCGAATCCTTCCTCGCGAGACACCTTTCCACCCCTCCTCCGTTCTCACCGTTCCTCTCTCCCTCTCTCTCCCCGTACGCCCCTTCCTCGTTTTTCATCGGTATCTCACCTCTTCGTCCTCTGTGGAAGAGGTCCTAAAAACGGAGGCCGACAGTGGAAGTTCGACGGAAGAAGGGGTGGACAGCGGCGGACGGGCAAGGAAAAAGGGTGAAGGGGAGGGGGAGGAGGTAACACGAGTTGCGTGTGTGCGCGCCGCGCGTTCCTCTGGCCTTTCCTCCCGAGACTTCCACGATCTTGGGGAGGATCGACCGACCAGTGCGCGTTCGGGAAAGAAGGGTGACGGAGGGTGGAACCGGCTATCGAAATCCCGGTGTAGTACTTCGAGTGGTACGCGCGCGAGTGCACGCACGACGCCTCACGTCACATCGGAACGCGCGATAAGGGAGGCGTGTAAACGAGAGTGTCTAATAATGGGCAACCAATAGGTTTGTTCTTTTCAGTTGAACTTTTCGCATTTCTCGTTTTTCCTTTCTTTCCCTTATATACAAACTTTTTAATATATATATATTGTATTTGTTTCATTCTATTCCGTTCTAGTTCAGCTGAAAAGAATAAATTTATTGACGCCGATAGGCGCGATGAAGGTGTCGGTTCAGTGAATGAGTTCCAAATTGGCGGTGTTGGATCGTTGTCGTCCTTTGCGCCAGTGGACAGCTTCTGCGAATTAGGAAACTGTTGCTCCTGTCGGCGCAGCAGGAGCCTCTTCGCTCTTTGGACAAGCGACAGTTACACCTGTTACGCTCGCCGGCCGGTGTAACGAGAGAGCGAGAAAAAGAGAGAGATGTTACGCCAATAAATAATCATCACGCACCGCGTAATCCCCGGCGTCGGCTCGCACGCACGCACGTACGCAGGTAATCGCGCACGACCCCCGGATCGCCGCTCGACCGGACAAGAGGATATGGAATTGGATGTAACGAAGCCGCTTCTTGTCGCTCGCCGCCGCATCCCGTTCCTTGGCATCGACGAGAAGGAGCCACGAGCCGACTGGGCGATCTCGCGATCTCGCGACACGAGTGATCGGCTGTAACGATGCCGATGCTCTGTGGATCGCGTCACTGCACCGTCAGGACGACGAGGACGTCGTACAATTGCACGACCGAGGCGGATTCGACGGGCGTAAAAACGCGGAAGTGGATCGACGTAGTATAGGTAAAGGGACACCCCCGACGAGGTGGAGTTGCGAGGCAACGGCGTGCTGCCCGTGCACGTGCGCGATTATGGAAGCGGTGGAGTTTTGTCTCTCTCTCTTGTTGGACGAATCTCGCTCACGTATGATCGCGAATTTTATTAGCAACGATACGTAAGAATTGAAAAGTCGCGACGCTCTATTTAGAAAGAATGTCATGACATGCTCGATGACACGGTGCTCTGATTGATTGCACCATGTAATAAATTCTTGTATGAGTTTTTGCGAAAAGAAACGAAGTGGGATATAAACGAATGGTAAGAATCGTAGAGAGGAAGCGCTAAATAGAGAGTTTTATTAATCACTATCGTCGCTGAAAATGGAAAATCGGAATATAAATGAAAAGTATAAAAAGGAAAGAAGTTTTATCAAATAACACCGACATTGTACGTCCGAGTGTGATCAAAACGATCGCATTAATCTCTATGATATTAAGAAAAGTGAAGGCCCATCTATCTAGCGCACTTGTTTTTCATTCATGCGATGCATGGATTATGCGAGCATGCGCTTTGCTGTATCCGGTAATATTTCATTGTCTAGTGGAAGATTTATAGAGGATAGAGGTAGCTTTATGAAAGATGCAATATTAATAGTTTTTAAGAGCTGAGAATGTGTGTGTGTATGTAATAAGAACATATCGCAACAGCTTTCTCCCCATCTTCCCACCCTCTTTCTCAAGAGAGTGCGAAGCTTGAATCAGAGTCAAATTGATAAGGGTCGTCGTTTCCGATTAGCTCGATTATCTCGATTATTTCCTCGTGTCGTGCCGTGAAAGCATTACCAACGAAAGTCGGACATAAGCTCGAGGAGAGCAATATATCCCGACGCACGTATCATTCCTTTTCCCATTGTGCATCCGCACCGTTTCCCGAAAATGCTCGGCAACGGCGAGGCAAGGCAAGCAAAGGGGGCGGCGGATGGGCGCAGTTACTGCTGATCGTTAAAAGGCGCATAAAAAAAGGTAGAGTAGAAGGCGCTGGGTGGACGGGGTGGGTGGGTGGGTGGAGGGAGGTCAGAGGAAACGGCGCGAGAAGTAACAATAAAAATTCGTCGGCGTTCGTGTTTCGTCGCCGTGGTAGGAGCGGAGGGACGTAAGGGGAGCGAGGTGAGGAGTACGACGGGGGTTAAAGCGAGGCGAGAGAGACAGAGAGAGAAAAAGAGAAAGAGGAAGAGAAGGGTGGTTGGGTAGTCGGTGGAGCAGGGTGCGTAATGAAACGATATTGAGTAGCCGTGGTAGGGAGGGTCGTTCTGCGAGAGGGTGGGGGTCGTCTTCAGCTCTCTCCGTCGATTGACCTCGCTTCGACGAGGCGAGGGTGGGAGCGAGCCAGGGGCGGATGTTGATAGGGCACGGTGGGGACCGTGGCTTGTGAGAGAGAGTCTGCTGCTCGAGGGGAGGGAGATAGGGAGCCCGTTAAATTGATGAAAATGACACGGCACCTTTTCTCTCCGTCCGTTTCTCTCTCTCTCGGCTAGCTTCTCGCTTATCCCTTTAGTATGCTTTTTTTTCCCCCTATTTTGACGACGCCCGGAAACGCTCCTCCCGGAAATCTCGAGGAACTTCAAAGCGACACATTAGTACTCGAAAGGCGAATGGATAGAAATAAATCGCAATACGCGAAAAGTTGGATCGGTATATGCATAATGTGGAATCTGAGAAATCCTACGGTACTGTCGATAAGAAAAAGAAGTAGGGATCGATCTAATATCGCTGTAAGATGTAATTAAATTTTTAGTGTAGTACACTTTGACCGCGTAGTTAAAATTAAATTAAACGATATATTCCGAAACTAAATTAAACGATATATTGCAATGTGTCATTACTAAGGATATA